CTAAAATCTCACATTATAGTACTAGAATAAATTCTACAACATCTACGGTTACTGCACATCATACTCTGTTGCGGCACGCAAACCGATCAACAATTATATCTCAATAACAAGTCTCCTCCATTGCGACGCGCAATCCGATCCACAAATATATATAAATATCATTGCGGTGTACAACCCGACCCCAAATAGTAGTATCAATATCCGTTGCGGCGTGCAACCCGATCCCACGACCGTTGCGGCGTGCCCATCTGCCATGGGGGGACGCAATTTGTTTTTAAATTTTTTACTAATAAACTGTCTATGAAGTAAGAAGACAAAGTTGAATCTGCATTTATTGTTTTATCTTCATAAATGTATACTTGCTTATTAATTAAAATTATTATTTTTTTCACAACGATACAGGGTAAAAAAAAAACGTGTTTAACCATAATTGTTTCGATAAGCCTATTATTCTTTTATTCGATTGTGCATGTTTACTACAAATGTTCAGTAACAATATCATGTGTAATTTGATACAAAAATTATCATAAATCAACTTTGTCCAAGCTGAAAGCAGACATGAAAAATAAAGAAAAATTAGCAATGGTCGTTGTCCCTTTCTCTGTCCTGGTAGCAGAGACCCACTCGTCAATACCATGAGTTATTCTCGTCGTCTCTTCCACATCTTCATTGGCTGCACTATGAACCTTTCTCGCTTATGCTTTCCTACGACTTATGAACACAATCATTTATAATCGTACGCTAAAACAAAAGGGCAAAAATTCATAGCTCAATAATTTTACCTGTTTTCTTTTTGCATGGACTACAAAATTTGGATATTCCTTCGTTTAAAGATGATTCTTATATACGTATTCAGTGTTAGGTGTTTGCCCTGATTTTCTTATCATATTTGGTTTTCCTATATTTACTATATTGGATTTTTCTTTTTGTAGAAGAAAATTATAAACGGAAAAAGGCTAAATATACCCCTGTACTATCAGAAAAAGTTTAATTGTACCCCTCGTTATACTTTGAGTCCATATATACCCCTGTCGTTATACTACTGATTCAAATATACCTATTTTTCGTTAAGTTTGTCCAAAGTGGACATCCAATCCTACGTGGTACTGACATTTGATGAGGTGGATGTCACATGGCTTGCCACTTCAGCGCCCCTAACTCATTTTCCCCCTCCCTTTTATTTTTTTTCCACCACTAAAATTGCCTTTCCCTCCACCACCATTGCCTCCATTCGACTACCATGAAAATATTGTATTTCAAATTTTAGTCTTTTATATATGGATTAGGGTCGCTGAGGTGGCATGGCATGTGGCATCCACCTCATCAAATATCAGTGTCACGTAGGATTGGATGTCCACTTTGGACAAACTTAACAAAAGAAGGATATATTTGAACCAATAATATTACGACAGGGATATACTTGGACCCAAAGTATAAAGAAGGGTATATTTAAATATTTTCTTATAGTACATGGGTATATTTAGCCCTTTGCCGAATTATAAATCTCCCATATTTGGCTAGTCATTTTTCTTGTAGGAAAAGATTTAGACTTCTATAAATTGAGGATCCTTCCTTCTCATTCAGTAGCATCCACAATGTAGTCATATGGGGTTTGAGTATCGTGTTTAAGGGGAGAACCTTACGGGACAAGTGTTAGTGTGTCAATTATGTTTGCCTCTTCGTGAGGTTGTTCTCTCGATATTTTGTATACTCATTTATTATAGTGGATTGCTCATCTCCGCTTTGGATGTAGGTCAATTGACCAAACCACGTTAAATATTTGTATTTCTTTTGGTATATTTCTCTTTTATTGTTTGATTTATCGTCGTTCAAGGTTTGCTTTACTAGCTTTCACACGACACCTGATTTATTTCGATCCTAACATTCAGAGTGCATAATCGTAAGAAAAATAAAAGATATTGTTAAAAAAGAAGGCGTAGATGAAAGAAACATTGCAATACAATAAACTTCACCCTTCAAATAAAACCATTAGTTAGTAAGGAAATAGGGAATTACATTAAATAAGTGACAAAATATTTACTAAGTGTATTCCTACAGACTTTTAAATAATGTAATAGGACAAAAAAGGAATCCGCTAAACCACACATTCATTTTACCTTTTTCAAATTCGATTCTACGGCTGAAACTACCACACCGGATAATCAATAATTCCTTGACTTATATTAAGGTGAACACTTTACTGACTGTGGTACCACAATGTGGTACCTTGAGAAAACACCCAACAAGGGTGTGTTAGCCATGAACTTGATTAAAGAAGGTGACTTTACAAACTCACCCACTATGGGTGCATTAGCAACAAACAATGGAGTTGAAACCTATCAAGTCATAGCAACACACCCAAATTGCCTATCCACCACGGGTGGGCATCATTGTTTTTGGTTTTTTTAACTGATAAACTATTTGTCTATTCTATCTAAGAACAAAGAAAAATAATTAAGATTATTTAATCCACTTGTAACGAAAAATAAACTATAATGAAATTCAAAGCGCAATTCTTGTTCATCCCAAGTATTAGAAAACTTCAAACTCAATTGAAGTTTGAAGGACAGAATATCGGAGGGGGCACGCACCACTGCATAGGCGCGTTTAGAGATGGTGGTGGGGCGGGGCAGGCGGTTGCGGTACAAGTTTAAATTTAACCCGCATAACAAAATTTTTTTTTCAACCCACCCCGCATGAACCCGCCCCGCCCCGTCCCGCCTAACGAAAAACTTCGGCTTTCTTCTATACGCTCTTTGCGAGCAAGTTCGTCCGAAGTTTTCACTACTAGAAAACTGCCTAAAACCGTCCAGAATTACCAACCGAAATCGATTGGAAAACTGAAAAGCCTGACCGATTTTCGACCGACTTTAGTCTGTCGAAATTAGCGGTAACATATAGCGACCAAAGTCGGTCGCAATTTCCCATCCATTTCGATAGGTCAATTAATTTTCACAAACGACCCAAAAAGAAAAAATCTGCCGAAAAAACCGACCGAAGTCGGTCGATATTTTTAATTGTGCAATTAAAAAATGCACTATTTGAGAACCAAACCAGGGTCTACATCTTTCATTGCATTTTCGAGCGAAAATAACCAACTGATCTCGGTCGATTTTATTAAAAATATAAAATTACCGACCAAAGTCGGTCGATGTTTCATAATGACTAACTGGAATAACCGACCGATTTCGGCCAGTTTTTTTAATATTAATTTTAATTTATATGAAGAGAGAAAAAATATATTTCAACTTTATTTTTCTTCTCTCTTCTTTTTTTTTAGTTGGATTGAATGAGTGGGTGTGATTGAAATTGGTTGAAAATACCTAAACGAGGCTATATACAAAATTTGAGCAAGAATAGAAGTGATTTAGACTGGTTTCAGGCAAAAAATCAGACCTAAAAATCAAACTGCGACATGTGTATATCACGTTGTATATCGTGTACATCAGTGTATATCACACACAAGTTTATAAGGACGTCTGTGTATATCACTTTGTATATCGGTATACAACATAATTTTTTTACGGACGCCCGTGTATATCACATTGTATATCGTATATATAACACAAATTTTTATGGAAATACACAGATACACATAATATACATGACATATCACTGATATACATAGAGATATACACGGGTTACAATAGGGGATACACTTGTGGAGTCGTCTTGAACTTGAGTTTTCAATCTGAAATGTGTTATACAAAGAAGGAAAACAAAATTTTAATAATTTTTTTTGATATACACATTATTATTATGTTATACACTATGATATACAAATAATATAATTATTAGTTATTGATCAAAAAAGAAAAAATAAATTTTTGATATAGCATGTTCAAGCAAATTTTAAAATATAAAAATAATAAATATAATTGTGGGAGTAAATAATATTTTAGTATACAAAGAAAATTAATTTTTGATGTACACAAAGAAGAAAAATCAACTTATGATATCTATTTTGGTATACATATGTCCGATGTGCGATACAAATAATACAATATTTTTATTGTGATATATATTGATAGAAAAGGCATCAATAACTATATATATAATTTTATATTATTAATATACAAAGAATAATATTATTTATATACAAATAATGAAAATAAAATTTTAATATACATGGTGGTATAGACAAAGAAGAAAAAAAAGTTGTGATATACATATTATTATTGTGATATACATTTATTGGCTATTTGATGCAATATCTATAACTAGGGCTATTTTCTTCCAATTATATGAGTATGTTGTTATACCATGTCAAAACCCCTAATAACCACAACCTTAAAATATTAAACATCCAAAATCTCTTTTTAGGGAAAAGTATAAGAATAAATGCTTCAACAGTCTGTACACTCAGTAAAGAATTTGCTTGAAATTGATGAACCCGCCTCACATGATTATCAACCCGCAACCGCTTTTAGTTTTTAAAAGAATGTTCAAACCCGCCCCGCCTGGCATTCATCTGCACCTGCCTCGCACCCACATGATCTCAAACCCGCACCGCCCATTGCCCCGCACCCGCATGATCTCAAACCCGCCCCGCCCACTAGATAGGGTGAGTCCAAGCTTTTACAATCAATTTTTAAGATAATTGTATTTTGGAAAAAAGAGTTCATGTCGCCTGTTATTAACTTATATCTTCTTAATAATGCCATTAATTAAAACCTTTTTCTTAATCTACAACTAGCGCGTGGTTATAAAGAAAATTGAAGGAATTTTTCCTAATGACATATATACATTATTGTCTCCAATAGAGATATGGACATGTCCACCAATTTTCATATGTAATCAATTGTACCTAGTAATGATGCTCTTGTTACTTTTGGTGCAGCCCGATACGGTATAAGCGTAGTGCTACAAAAGATTTAGCTCTGAGAATAGTAGTTTCTTATATTGCACACCCATGAAGCGACTAGAGGAACATAATTGAACAACAAGGGATTGGTGTTGGTGGACCACCGATTAGCTGTGGACAAAAGGGCCAGGCCGTATGTAAAGAAAATGGCAAAGAACCAAGACTACTTTTCAGACAGCAGTAATATTTTCATTCTTTTTAGGATGGAAGGAATATACATTATAAATAAATGAATTTTATTAGATATTCTGCTTTAAATTGGATGTACACCAAAATGCTTCCTTCATTCCACTGCTTTCCAAAGTTGTCAAAGCAAGTCAAAAAATATTGGAGATATCAGGTGTAACAAGTACATCAAGAATACCTCTGCCGCCTTTTCTGAATCTTCTCTTGCATGCAAGGTTACTGTTTGAAGGAACTAAATTATTTTCTCTTGTGGTTGTGTTCCGCTCCTCATCATCGCGCAGAACTCCTCATAATTGATCCTACCGTCCTGTTTAAGTGAAAGAGTATAGGTAAAATCCAGTATCATAGTAGAGCTACAAATGTTAAATATTGCATCTGAAACTACTTACATGATCTGTGTCCACCTCTGCTATAATTTCCTTTATGGTGGCCTCATCACCCATACCGTACTCTTTCATAGCACTTTCCAATTCATCTTTTGTTATGAAGCTGAACCACATTCACAAAAAATAAACAAGTAAACATCTCAAAGGAATGATATGTGAAAAGATAATGTCTAAGACAGATCCTACCAAATCCGTAGAATAAGGTTTCCTTATATGGGATTAACTTTTTATTCATGAAACAGACCATCTACGGTCACGCTATTTAGCTATAGAAACTTCATTTGCCGAGGAAAGAAAATCATGAATATTTTGGGAGAAGATTTTTTTACAAAGCAATAGAAAACTGCCAAAATGCACCAGAGAGGGCTCAATATGTCAAAATTACTTATGGAGGCTAGCTGATGATTAAGGAGGATGATTAATATGCACATTTAACAGTTTGAGATTCCATAGCCTATAACTATGAATGCTAACCAATGCATGCAATCAACTACTCATGAACCACATGCAGGGGAACGACTCCCATCGATTCATCATAATATAAACACTCAATAACAACAACGCTGAAATCTGCTTTTCATTTGCCTCCTGCTAAAGTTATCATAACTAATCCATATTGGCATCTGGACAAAATTATGCTATACAACCAAGATTTAGTATAAGCTACACTTCACTGGAAACCATAAACACTGAAAATCACTTTGTGGACTCACCCGCTATGGTCCGTGTCAAAAAACTGAAAAGCTTTAAACAGATGGTCATCCCTTTCAAGCCGATGTCTATGCATTGTTGCAGTAACAAACTCGATGTAGTCAATCGTTCCATTTCCATCCACATCAGCCTGAAATATAGAACGAAAAAAAGGATAAATAGGATAATAAAGCTGTCAGGAAGCCAAAATAAACAGATAAATCTAGTCAAATGCATCAAACTTACAGCTTCCATAAGTTGCTTAACTTCAGCCTCTGAAAGCTTTGATCCAAGGCGAGCCAATCCTGATTTTAATTCTTCGTAAGTGATTGTCCCACTATTGTCTGTATCCATGTTCGCAAACATAGCTTTCAGACCCTTAATTTCTTCTTCAGATAAATTTTCTGCAATGACCTGGGGAATTCCAAAACAGAATATCAGGAGGTTGAAATTTGAAAACCATCAGGGAAAATGGAAACTGCTGATATCTACAGGCTACAGCATCTTTCATTGCCTTGTTAGGTATCCAATTACGTGTTAGTCAACGACAAGAAACTGCGATGGAAAAGAATACATCAACAAAGACCTCGCTCAACCCCCAAAAACATCTTGTTAAAGAACGAATTAGTTGATGTTGGACGGTTTCTTATTCAGTATAGCAAATTTTAACCAATTCTGTGACAACTTTCTTAAAGAAATGAAACATCAGCTTGATTGTAGTTATACTTTCTAGATCAAGACCCTAGAAAATGCGACATCTCACTTTTACTGCTGAAGAAATACTAATGAAGGTCAAAGAGACATTCTAATTGACGACAATCTTCAGACAACATTTAACCACTTGGCATGTAGAAATAATAGTTGCTATATCAAATTCTACCTTCAATGCGAGTTTCTTGAGCTTGTTCATTGCCCTGAACTGCTTCATTCTGGAGAGGACTGCACTGTCTATAGGCTTATCTGATGCTTCTCCACTTCGAAGCCATGGATGTTCTGTAGAAGCAAGCGCAAAGTATATTAAGAAGGACACATAGTTTAGTTCCAGCATACTAAACAAGATCCAATCAAGTGAAAAAAATCAAATATCAAGAAGACTAAGAAACCTGATAAGCAAGTCAAAATGGAAAGCAATAGGAAGACACTGAAAAGGCAAGATATACTCACTAATGCATCATAACATACGATAAAGTGTAAGAACACCTCGATGCACTTTTATCCACATTTTAAAACTTTGATTAACCAAAAAGGAATCTGAAGAGACAAGTATTTGGCTACTAGTGATGCAACATAAGCATAATGTTCTTAAAGTAACTGAAAATCCAATAGTGGAATGGATCAAATATGGCCTTTATATTAGATACAGCCAACGAAAGACCAAACAACAAGCTTTTCTTTGGACATGATAAATAGAGTTAATATTTTAACTCTAAATTCGTCTTTCACTTTTATTCATATGAGAAACAACAAAGCTATCACCTCCTACTGGTAATGAAACAACCCCTTGTTCTTTCTTGTCATCATCATATTGGTCACATAAATGTTAAAACAACTCACTCTTCGTAGAAGCTTCCGTCAAAAGAAATCAGCATGAAACTAGTTTGAATCTTGTGGTCTTAAAGTAAAGATTAATGTACTAAAATGCCCTACGAATCATGTCGTCTTAAACATGCCATGTGAGATATTGGAATTAAAGAGTTAGTACTAAATACAAAAAATGGCATTCTTTTCTAAATAGACTAAAGAGGAAATTAAGACGCATAAATTGAAACAGAGTGAGTAGTAGATTGTTATCCTATGTTTTGTGAAGAAAACATGAAGTATTGTCTAATAAGTGCCAAACATGAACTCCTATGGAAAAGCTAAACACAACTCTAGCTTATCTTTAATTGCATATACAAAAATACCCATGTTTCTCTCCGTGACTATATAAAACCACATTGATAAAGTACTATATAAAATGAGAAGATCATGTTGTAACCTTTGATTACACAAAATCAGAGAGAGAGAGAGAGAGAGAGAGAGAGAGAGAGAGAGAGATACCAAGAACTTCTGCTGATGTGATTCTGTTTTTTGCATCCTGTGTTAACATTTTTCGAACAAGGTCCTTGGCACTATTTGATATGGATGGCCATGGATCACTCTGGAAGTCAATTTCTCCTTTTAGTATAGCATGGAATATTCCCTTTTCAGTTTCTGAAAAGATTTGGAAAGACATGTTAAAAGAGAAGTGCAGAAAATAACACCAATTACAGCATCTAATTATGCTTCTATCTCTGTCCTTACCATCCCAAAATGGAGGTACACCACTAAGTAGAATATACAAAATAACACCTGCACTCCATACATCCGCTTCCTTTCCATAACTACGCCTCAATACTTCAGGAGCTACATAGTATGCACTACCAACTATATCGCGATAAACCTTACCTGAAATCAATAAATAAATTAAAACATAAATATGAATCCTATCTACAAAAGCCGCAAGTTAGGAGAATGATAAAACTCTGATTTTACAAGCATTCTGTAGTGATTGATACATGATTACAGTACAAACATTCCTCTTCAGTATATAAGAACCAGGAGAGCAAACTGCAGCAAATGTATTCCACTCTTTTTCATGAATAGCACTTAAATACATATCCATATAACATTTAGTTGTGTAAAAATATTTATATAACTTGAATCAAGAATATCACCTTCTTCAATGAAGACAGAAAGTCCAAAATCAGTTGCTTTTAACATTGCACTTTCATCCTTACTAGTCAATAAGAAATTCTCAGGCTTGAGATCCCTATGCATAACACCCATAAAATGGCAAATGTAAACAACATTCACAATCTGTCTGATAATATCAGCAGCATCCTTCTCAGAGTAATATCCCCTGGCAATAATTCTATCAAACAACTCCCCTCCAGCACAAAGTTCCATAACAAGGTGCACTGAATACTTGTCCTCATATGCACCCTTGAATTCAACTATATTTGGTTGTCCACTCAAATGCTGCATAATTTGAATCTCCCTCTTAATATCCTCCTTATCTTTCTTATTCACAAGTTTCCTCTTCATTATTGACTTGCAAGCATAAGGCTGTCCAGTTGAAATCTCAGTACAATAGTAAATCACTCCATATTGACCCCTACCTAATTCTTGCCCAAGTGTGTAATGTGCTTTAATATCCTCAAATGGCTTCCCTAAAATGGTATCTTGTTCTATTCTTTGTTCTTGAATATGGGATTGTGAATTTTTCACAGGATTTTGGTGTACCTGTTGTTGTTGTTGTGCACGGGGCTTATAGGGCCTTGCTTGAGGTGGTCTTTGATAGTTTTGATGATAATAAACTGGATGTTGATAATGTTGATATGCAGCATTTGCTCCTCTTCTTGGCCTATACCTTTTACCATCTGGTTGTCCATATTTGTTCTTGCTGAAACAACCTCCCATTTTTGCTGAATCTTTAGGTACTCAATTTCTTGAGATGGTTGAAAAAAAAAAGGTTCCGTTTTATGACAATAATATTGAATACTGGTTCAAAGAATATAAACATTGATCTGATATAACCGACCCCAAGTAATTTGATATCATGACCAATTAGTTTAGGATTGAAACGTGACTTAATTTTTGTTGCTGTTATTGTGCAAAAGAAATGGTTTTATCAACTTGTTTAGGAGAAGAAGAAAAAAGGAAAAGATTTTGACTCTGTCAAAATGAAAAGGGACAAGTTTATTGAGCAAATCAATCAAGATCTTGGATTCTGAGCAAAATCCAAATGAGGTTGAGTGGTAAAGTTCAAAAAGGAGAACGTTAGTGCGAGAGATATTCCTAAGATCAGAAAATGCCAAAGGGATTAAACTCTGTTTATTGTTTGCATGTATTGTTCTAGTGTGTATGCATGTTGTTAATCTGTTTCAACTTTCCTTTTTGCTATGCCTTGTTTTTCTCAACAGCTTTTTCCAACTAGCGAAAAAGACGCATTATCTCTAGCTCACCTTAACCTTTTTCGAATAACTTTTAAAAATAGTGTGTAAAGAACTTAGTTTTGTATGCATAAAAGTTGTAACCCAATAAATACACAAACTTTGATGACAAGTCCAGTCAGTACAAATTTTGACATCCAACGAGAATTGTACTCCCCCGGGTTCAAAATAAGTGATTTTTTTGGATGTTTTCACACACCTTTTAGCATTAATTACTAATAGAATTGACCATATTAACCTTTACTATCTCACATAAACACTCCTAACACATATTCCAACACTATTTACTTCAAGGACAATGTAGAAAAATAATAATTAATTCATCCTTGAAATCTGGAAAAATCACTTATTTTAGACCACAAAAAAAAGGTCAGAAAATTACTTATTTTGGACCGGAGGGAGTATTGTGAGAGGTTTCAGATTCGAGAATTAAATATCTAATTCTAGGTAGGGGAATGCACAAATTCGTTGCATAAGATAAAAGGAAAAATATATATTGGTAATTTGAGTTATAATTAATAGTTATTGCTCTGCCTCTTCCACTATAGTATTCACAAGCCAATTGTCAACCCAAAATATTACCCCCCGTTTCAATTTATGTGAATCTGTTTGACTGGGCACAGAGTTTAAGAAAAAATGAAGACTTTTGGAATTTGTGGTCCTAAACAATTCAAAAAGGGGCCCAGAGTATTTGTGTGATTATAAAAGCTTCTCAGTAAGAGTAGAATTGTAAGTTTAAGCTAAATAGTTACCAAATTTAGAAAGGGATCATTCTTTTTGGAACGAACCAAAAAGGAAATAGGTTTACATAAACTGGAACGGAGGGAGTATTACGGAAAAAAACCATGTAGTCTTGCTCTTATTTTAAGTTTAAATGAACGGTTAATTTCATAGACCTCCCCTGAGGTTTGGCTTCATAACCGTTACTTCCCTGGTAATTTACGATAATACACCTATCTCCCTTATTTTAATTTTGTTGTAACAATTCTCTAGACCCATTTATTATTAATTCCTAAAACTTATAATATGACTAATTTACCCCTTTTTAATATACTCTTCTCTTTAATTAATTTTTCAAATATCTTTTTAAACAATTAATATCGTAATATTATAAACCACAAGAGAGATGACGGTAACGAAGCCAAACCTGAGGGAGGCCTATAAAATTAACCCTTAAATGAATATGAGTTGCTATCTTTCTCCTCTTTATTTTTTCAACGATGTAACTATCAACTCCTACAAAAATTCAAATACTCCAAATAAAAAGCAAGAACATTTGTATAGTTTTCCTTTCCATGTAAACCAAACTCAAACTTGAGGGGACACTGACGGCGTAATGCTTTCACATTTTATCTATCCAAAAAAACGAACATCTAGAATGGCAAGGGGTTGGAAACTTCTTACTGTAGGAAATTAGTCCAAATTTTTATTCTTTAGCCGAAGAATCTTAGGCCCCATTTGTTTGCACTTAATGGAGGTCTGAATTTTAATCATTCAGATCTCAGACATTAAGTGCGTTTGTTTTTAAAGTCTGAATCTTAATTATTCAGATCGTATTCATTAAGTGTGTTTTTTTTACTTCACAACCACTTAATGGGTGTGAATAGGTCTGTATGATTAAGATCTATAACAGAGACTTAATTTCATTAAGATGCTGTCACATATTCATTATTAACGCACCACCGCCTACCATTATCAACTACCACCATGCCACCACCACCACCACCCACCACCACCACCACGCCACCATCTTCCTCAATCATAGCCGCCATTGATGATATTAAGTCATTTTTGGTTAGGTTTGAGCCGCGTGGAGGCAAATTTTAGGGGAAATACTATTTTCGAGGATAGAGTTGGCCACCCCATCACCATCAACAACCACAGCCGGCACTGCCCATCATTATAATCTACCACCACCCATCCACCACCTTCCTTAGTCACAACTACTACCACCACCCACCACCACCATCCTCAATCATAATCGCCACCACTACCAATCACTACTAGCTACTAGCATGAACCACCATTATCAATCAAAACTACCACCAACCACCGCCTCTAGTCGGCATTCACCCGTTAGCCATCACCACTAACAACTATCATATTTTAAAAAACTACTCCATCCGTTCCAATTTATGTGAACCTGTTTGACTGGGCACGGAGTTTAAGAAAAAATGAAGACTTTTGGATTTTATGGTCATAAACAAGTCAAAAAGGGGCCCAGAGTATTTGTGTGGTTATAAAAGCTTCTCATTAAGGGTAGAATTGTAAGTTTAAGCTAAATTGTTTCCAAATTTAGAAAGGGATAATTCTTTTTGGAACGGACCAAAAAGGAAAAAGGTTCACATAAACTGGAACAGAGGGAGTATATATTTTATTGATAGTTAGTATTTTATTTGAATTTTATGTTTATTAATTTTCAAATAATGATATTCAGATGTTAAAAATCAAACAGTCTTAATTATTTAGTATTCAGATCTTAATACACATCTTAATATATTCAGATGTGTATTCAAATTCAGATGTCTTAATCTTAATACACATCTTGATATTCAGATGTGTATTTAGATTCGAACGTCTTAATCTTAAAAAAAATAAATGAGGCCTTAGTTTGGTTGGATATTTGAACATTTAGTCCTAATTTTTGTTTTTTAACCGGGAAATTTTAATAGCTCATTTGATTAGCTATTTAATTTTTTACTTTACGGGTGAGAGTTCGATTCTCACCTTGTCATTAATTCTCTTTTTATTTCTCCTATTCTTATTCTTATATATAATTTTTTTTAAAAGAAAAAGTTCTTTTTTCAAGTTGAAAATAAGTTTAGTAGTACCAAAAAATATAAGTTTAGTCCACTCCAAAACACTCATAATTATTTTGTAAGGAGGAATATGTTCAACTCCTTCTTGTAAAAATTGGTCATTCATATCATTTGTTAAGAGTTTACTTCAAAAACGTACTAAAAAAAATTCTCCAATAAGAATATTTTAATAGATCATGATTTGTGAGTTTTTTCATTTTTACTAAATATATATGCACTTATCAAAACTTTATCTATAACTTTAATAAAGTAAAATTCAAATAATATTCTTACAACAAAAAACCCAAAAAATCCGACAAAATCGAACCAATCCAAACCGATATAATTGGGTTGGTTTGGTTTTGATAAAAACCACACCAACCCGGTCCATGTACACCGGTGAGCAAGACGAGGCTTCCACCATTCCAAGCAATTACTTATGAACTTCTTTGAAAATCAAAACATTTTGCAAATAGACTGTGCAAGTTGCACATTCTGCCTCTTTCATACTGCTGAATATTCAAGAATTAGTGCGATATCATCGACTTTACCGGAAAAAAATTCTCTAACTTGCAGTAGCCATTGGAAGTTGGGAAAAGGGATTTGTCCCTTTACTATACAAAAAGAATCAAGTTTGCCCTATGTTATACTATCAGTCTAAAAATATCCATAATGTTATTTAAATGGTTCAATTATATTCCTCCTCCATTAAAGTTGTTCAAAGTAGACGCTCAATCCCATATGACACTCACAGTAGGTGAAGTGGATACACACGTGACATAGTAGCTCACCACTCCAACCCATTTTACCCCTTCGCTTAGGGGCGGACCCACGTGTAAGGTTCTGAGTGTTGCAGCACCAACTGACTCTAATGGGGACTTGATATACTAGTATAGAAATTTTATGAAAACTGAAATAAAATATTAGCAAGCACTCATTAACCAAAAAGTTTAATGGGTGCTTTGGTTTGGGGCCAAAGTTTGTGCGCATGGATACTTGAGGTTGGGAGATTGATCCTTTTCAACGCTGATTTATCACTTACCTCTTTTTTACTTTCTTTTTTCCCCTTTTTCTATTTCCTCTTATTTACTAATTAGAAGAGAAAAAGGAGAAAAAGAATCCTCCACTAGTTAAAACATTGGTAGGCTTTCAGATCTGCATCAAACTTGGCCGCTTGTTTATTTGCTTATCAAGTTGACTCTCATTCTTCCTATTGTTACAGCTTCTGTGGAACGAGCTTTCTCATCCATGAACTACATCAAAAATGAACTTCGTAACAATATCGGTAATGAATTTTTAAATAGTTGTTTAGTTTGCTACGTAGAGCATAAGATATTTGCAAGTGTCAGCAATGATGCTATCATTCATCGTTTTCAACATATGAAAAGTCGTCGAAGCACAATTGTGAGCTATGACTAGAAGTCATTTTTCTTTAATGATAACATTATTATTGTGACTCGTGGCTAGAAGTCATTTTTGGTAATGACAATAGTAATCATATTTTTTTCATCGCCCCATTCGAATAATTTGCGCTTATATTATGTGATTGATCGCACCTTTATACTAAAAGAAAGTAAGCACCCACGATCTTAAAATCCTGAATCCGCCAGTGCCTCCGCTCCCCTTCTTCTTCCACACTACATTACAAGATAAATCGTCCACTATTTAAGTCGATTTTATATCGTCTCTGAACCTATCTCAGGTGACCAAAAGACAAACTTCTTTCCATTCTTTAACGAGGTTTGGTTAGCGTCCATGTAGCTATTCTTCAAAGTAAAATCAGTTTCATCAACACCTATTAAATGTAGTTTTCTTTTGTCCAATAACGTCTCAACTAGATTTACAAAATTCCCCTGTGGCAATTGAACTTTTTGTCTTCAAATTGGCAACCGAGGCAACAACTTTGTCCAAAATAATGTCTAATTTGATGTTTGGCTATAATTAATTATTTTTAGTGCATTACATACCCTACATTTTGATACTTTAATGTTAAATTGTATATTGTTTGTGCTTAATTAAGTTTATTTTATGTGTAGGTACTTTTAAAATATTCATCTCATGATGGGGTAATGATTGAAGAAATAAGTATACAGGGAAGAATAAAGAAAGAATGAGGCAGCAAATGAA